CGTGGGCCAAGCACACACACAAGCTCAAAGAACACTGGGGACATAGTTTCCTAGCATACAGGAGGCCCTAGGTTCATCCCAGAACTAGAGGAAGAAAAAAGTCACCTTTCTGCTCTGTAGTGGACTGTGGCATGGATGTACTTTAATATCGTAGTTTCTTCGGTTTCTTGGGATTTGTGGGATGCTTTGACAGTTTCCAGTGTTTCGCTGCTGTGTGGAGGGCCGGATGCATGTATAAAGCTGTTAGGTACGTGTGGCGTGGTGAGGCAGCCATACAGCACTGTTGGTCGCCTCCCATCCTAACATGGCTGTGATCCTTCATTTCTTCCTGCTTTTTGCATTTCCCTGTGGAGTCTGGTGTAAGCCCTCCTTTTCCTCCAGGAGGGAGAGTTGGGATGACTCAGAGTTGTATTTCTTGGAATCTACAGAACAACAGTCAGACAGAACATTTATAATGGAACGGTTGATCATTGAAGGAGGCCTCAGTTGGTCCCTGGATGCTTCATAAAAGGCAATGATTGCTGTGTTCATTGAAAGAATATGTTAAAAGAAGGGTTGTGTCTACTTTCTTGATTTTCTTCTTTAGATCAAGAAAGTGGACACAGGCGAAGGTGATTAATCCTCATTTAGAAAGACAAATGGGATGTGCATTGAACTTATGACAGGAGTCTACCACAAAAGGCATCTGAAAGACTCTACCTAGCAGTGTTTCAAAGCAGACACTAAGACTCATAACCAAACCCTTGGCAGAGTGCAGGGAATCATATGAAAGAAGGGAAGTTAGTATGATATGGAAAGGATAGGAGCTCTACAAGGACCAAATATATCTGGGCACAGGGTCTTTTCTGAGACTGACACTCAACCAAGGACCATCTATGGATATAACCTAGAACTTCTGCTCGGATGTGGCCTGTGGTAGCTCAGTAACCAAGTAGTTTTCCAAAGTAAGGGGTACACGGACTATTTCTAACAGGATCTCAAGGGCAGGCTGTTTGACACCCCCCCCCCCAGGGGAGGAGCAGTCTGTTAGGCCACAGAGGAGGACTTTGCAGCCAGCCCTGAAGATACCTGATAAAACAGGGTCAGATGAAAGGGGAGGAGGTCCTCCCCTATCAGGGGACTTGGAAAGGGGCAGGGAGGAGACCAGGGAGGGAGTGTGGGGTTGGGGAGGGAATGAGGGAGCGGGATACAGCTGGGACATAGAGTTAACAAAATGTAACTAAAAAGAAAAATTAAAAAAAAAAAAAAAAGAAAAAAGAAGGGTTGTAGCTGTAGCTCAGAAGGCAGAGAGTGGTTGCCTAGCAAGCATGAAGTCCTGGGTTCAAGCCTTGCGTAAACCAGTTGTTTGTGCACACCTGTAATTCCAGTACTTGGAGAGGTGGGGGCAGGGTGATCAGAAGTTGAAGGTCATCCTGGGCTATATCAAGTTTGAGGCTAGCCTGGAATACATGAGACCCTGTCTCAAAAACCAAACCAAAAGCTGGGTGCAGTGATGCACGACTGTAATCCTAGTACTCAGGGAGGCAGAAGCAGGCAGATCTCTGAGTGTTCGAGGCCAGCCTGGTCTACAGAGTGAGTTCCAGGACAGCCAAGGCTACACAGAGAAACCCTGACTTGAAAAACAAAGAAAAAAACCAAACCAAGAACAGAAAGCCCCAGCTCAGTTGTTACTTGTGCCAAGGACTATGCAGACTCTTTACGTGTTCTTCCTAGTATCACTCTGCCTCTTCCAGGAAATTATTCATATTGTTGAGATTCTGTTTATTTGCATTTGCCATTCCATTTCCTTTTTAACGTGTGTGTGTATGTGTGTGTGAACTCAGGAGCCTCCTGCCGGGGGGCTGATTTTTGATTGTTGGCTTTGTTTTATAAGTGCAGGGCTGAGAATATAGTTCAGTGGTAGGATGATTGCCTAGCATGCATAAGGCCCTAGGTTCAAGTCCCAGTAATACACACACACACAGACTGACTGACACACATGCAGCCCTGGACTATGTTCTCATTGTAAAAAATATGCATCATACCAGTGGCAACAAGCTCAGGCAGTGTCACCCTAGATGAGCGACATTTCAGAGAACCATTTACTGGTGGGAGTGTCTATCCCTGGTGCAGGGGACACGAAAAACATTGGGCACTTGCCCCAAGATTTTTATCCTTATTTGCCAACAAAAGTGTGAAGGTTCTACAGAGCCAGTGGTGATGCAACCAGAATAAGGGACCCAGATGTTAGTGCCAGACTCTTTTATTTTGATTTATTTTTAGTTTTATTTATTTTTGGTTTCTTGAGACAGGGTTTCTCTGTGTAGCTCTGGCTGTCCCAAAATTCACTCTGTAGACCAGGCTGGCTTTGAACTCGCAGAGATCTGCCTGCCTCTGCCTCTAAGGTGCTGGGATTAAAGGTATGTGCCGCCATTACTACCCCACAGACTTTTTAAAAAAAAATTAATAATTTTTATTTATTTATTTGTGTGTGTGTGTGTGTGTGTGTGTGTGTGTGTGTGTGTGTGTGTGTATACCCAGCATATATGTGGAGGTGAGAAGACAGTTTGTCAATATGAGGACCCTGTTTATCTCCTTCTGTCTACCATGTGGGTCCCAGGGATTGAACTCAGGTTGTCAGGATGGCAGTAGGTGTCATTACCTTCTGAACTATCACTGTACTAGACTTTCTATACTGTGCTTTAAAAGAAAAGAGTCACTTGCAGCTAGGTATGGTAGTGAACACCTATAATCCAGCCTTTGGGAGAGAGGTGAGAGGACAGAGAACTGAGATCCTCAGCAGTGGCTGGTCAGGTTTGGAATGATGCCTGGGTTTGGAAAAAGGTGATTTTTTTTTGTCCCTCCTCCCCAAATGCCAAGCACTCACCTACAAAACACCTCCTTCCGTGTTGTTTGTTTTCGTTTTTAATGGTATTGGGGATTGAACTTGGGGTCTCAGGTGTGATAGGCATGCAGTGAAAGGACTAGCCCAACCCTTCAACCGTCGCTTTGGTTGGAGCTACTGAGTTTAGTCAGGTGACTTCTGTTGATAATCTTGTCTGCCTTGAGTGGGACAGCCCTTGCTGCTGGTGCTCTAGGCGGTGGTGGAGCCATCACTCAAGATAGACCCAGCCGGAGAACCATGTCTCCACAGGTATAGACATGTGCAGAAGGGCAGGCAGCCTCCGCCTCCCCAGGCAGACAGATGAACCTTTCCCAGCAGCTGGAATGGAAGAGCGGATAGTGATGCACCTGCCTTTAAAAGTACAGGGATTGCAATTCAGAAATGGCGTTGGACGTCAGCATATCTGCTGAGAGTCATTAATAAGAGGGGAAAATGAGTGTAAGCTCAAAGTCTAACCATGGAGAACGGGCGAGGAGCCATTTCTGTAGTAATAAACTCACACAGTGCATTACTCTGTATTGTTGCAGACATGTAAACTTTACACTTCCTTGACATCCTCTCCCATTAAATTCGAGTGACGTATTTACTGCTCTTTGGAGTGTAGCTTACAAAAACTTTTTGGGGGGAGTGGGGGGGTGGGTGGGGGGAGGGTGCTATTTCTAATTCTTTTGTTTCACTGCTGAGGACGGAGCCCAGGATGGAAAACTGTCTGTTCCACTGACCTGTTTCCCAGGCCCCCAGACTTCAGATACGATCCAACCATTTCTTTGAAAACAAACAAATCCTGCTGAGGTCTTGCACAAGTATGCACAGTTGCAGAGACAAAAAAAAAAAAAAAAAAAAAAAAAAAAAATGTTTGAGTCAGCGCTGTTTGTACTGGGACATCCTGGAAGGCATCCAAGTACCGTCTCCTGGAGGCAAGAGTGTCGGGTACACAGCTCTGTGTCCCGTAGCCCTGGGTGGTGCTAGGTCAGCCAGCAGTGTGTACCCCCACCCAAGACTGAGTTACCTGCAGAAAGTAGGCTTCAGAAGGAAACTGAGGCAATGCCATTCTGGGGGCGCACCTCTTAACAAAGGCAGAGAGGAGACTTGCTGAGCGTCTGTAGCAAGTGTCCGGTCCGGGAAGGGCTGTTGGAGGACTTTAACTTCCTAATTCAGAATTCTGGAGTGCTTGTGGGTTTTCATGCGAAAGCATGGAGAGGCAGTTAGGACCCCTACATAAAGAATGGGGTCCCAGTGGTCTGCTCCCCCGAAAGGATGTAATTTGTATTTGCTGTGTGATTCCAATGTTTTTTTGTTTGTTTTTTTTTTTTTTAATGCATAGACCGGAATTCACTGGAGGCACGGACAGTTGCCGCTTGGGTAGAGGGACTGTGGTGGACTGGACTGGACTGTTCTTTTCTGTATTTGCCAAGTAGTTTCATCAATCCTAGATTAGCTCCCAGACTATTTTTAACAGGGTCCCCATGAGGGATCCATACTAGGAGGGTGGGCACTGTGCAGCCCTGCCGAGGCCTGGGAAGCTGGGCTTCTTCCAAGGATGGCCAGGGCACTGAGGGACATCTCTGAGTCCCGGCCCAATACCATACAATAGCATACCATATCTTATCTTACTCACTTATTTATTGTTTAGTTTTTCAAGACAGGTTTCTCTGTGCAGCCTTGGCTGTCCTGGATTCCTGTTTTAGACCAGGCTGACGTTGAACTCTCAGAAGTCCACCTGCCCTGCACTCATATTTTATTAAAAAACAAAACAAAACACACCTTTTTTTTTGGTGTGTGTATGTGTACATGCACATGCGCTTAGCTGCCAGAACAGCGCCTGCTCTTAACCACTGAGTCATCTCTCCAGCCCTCAAAAAAAAAAAAAAAAAATTATTTTCACTTTCAGCTTTTTGGCAGCAAGGGAAGAATTTATGTAATTAACCTGTCAGTCACTTCTGTCCCTAGGCTGAGCTCGTGAGAACGCACTGGGTCCCTCGGGGACTGTTCTTGGGAGGACACCGGATGGGAATCCTTTCTTTTGGATGCTGTGGTCCTCCCCAGGGGGTGTAACTGGGGAAGAGGCAGCTGGCTGCCCCTGGCCTCGACCCAGTGCTCCCTTTGCCTTCTGCAGGAAGCCTGGAAGCACGCGATTGAGAAGGCCAAGCACATGCCCGACCCCTGGGCTGAGTTCCATCTTGAGGACATCGCCACGGAACATGCCACTCGGCACAGGTCGGCAGTTTGCCCCAGGGCTTTGAGGCGTAATTGCGGGGTGGAAGGTGGGGGTCGGGGGTATGTCGCATCTTGGGTCCTACATTGGGTCGAAGAAAAGATACTAACACAATACCCCAGTTTCAGATTCTACAGTATGTTGGATTGTTTGAATTAGGGAGGCCCAACCAGTTAAGTCTGGGTAAACGTTCAGAATTGGAAACAATCTGAAATGAGGAAAACTTTTGGTCCTAAGTGTTTTGCATTGGGGGAGGGATTGTGCAGCACAGGTGCGTTCATCCTTTATTTGAAGTTGGTTGAGAGTTGAGTGGGGCAGCTAAGGGATCCATGTTTCTTCTGGATCTCGATACCATCATCAACACTTGTCCTGGCAAACACCAGCAGAGGCAGGCAATATCAAGACAGTGCAGCAGGCTTCGGTACCTGGTTCCCGGCAGCGGCATCAGTTTCTCTTGGCCAACACACTCTGTCTTCTCCATCATTTCTGCTCCCATCCTTCAAGGAGTTGGCTTCAAGGAGTTGCCTCCCATGTGCCTCCTCTCATCCGTTGGAGGTCCACCGCCCCGTGTTGGGGCAGGATAAGTGGGAAGCCCAGCATGGGAGGTATAAGTAGGTTCTCTCTTTTTCTTCCTGTGACAGTGCTGGCGTAGCAAGCTGCACAGGCCCTGGGAATCACCAAGGAAAGCGGGCCCCATGCTGACCTGGCTCTGTGTCTTGAAGCCTAGCAGGGATAGGAGACCAGGCTGAACCGCCGTTTATTTTCTAATTAAATGGCCGAGTTTATGCCGCCCAGACTGCCAGTGAGAGGATGCCAAGCATGGATGTCTGGAACATTCTGAAATTTCTAAACCAGAAGCTTCCTTCTCTGGTCGTAGCTTTTAAGACTGAAAGCCTTAAAGCTGGCCCTTTGTTTGTGTTTCCTGTCCCTGTGAACTGTTTCCAGGGTGGTTGAGAGCTAGATTCAGCTTTAAACAGACCTGGGTTTGAATTCCTGATGCTCGGGCGGGAGACCTCACCTCTGAGCCAGTTTCTGCAAAACAGGCACAATAATTGTCACCATCTCAGGGTCTCTGCAAAGAGTAAACAAAACCACCTGTTTAAGAACCCAGCATAAGCTACGCAGAGAAACCCTATCTTGAAAAACAAACAAACAAAAAATAATGTAAAAAAAGAAATAACCCACCATATTGTGAATGCTCTGTGAACTGCAGTCACACTAGGCATTTAGTCATTCATTCGTTCATTCATTTACTTATTGTGTTATTGTGCATTGAACCTAGGGATTCCTATATACTAGACAAATGGTCTTTCTACCTGTGAGCTACATTGTCAGCCTTGGCTTCATTTTTTTTTTTTTTTTTTTTGATAGGGTCCCCTTAAGTTGCCTAGGCTGACTTTGTAGCCCAGAAGGACCGCAAACATGGCTGTTCTGCCATCTGAAGGTAGCTGGGGTTACAGGTCTGTTTCACCATTCCTGGCTGGCTCTTGCCTTTATGATGTTAGCGATCGTGAGCAACAAGCAAGACCCTTTTAGGGTTCCCAGTGTCTGGGTGTCTCTTAGGGCAGAGGTGAGGGAGTGGAACATCTGTGACCTCCACTGTAGAACACAGTGCTTGCCTCCCACGGGCTGTGAGCACCCTGACAGCCTGGCAGAGCCCTCCTCCTCAGAGACTCAGGGAACCTGCCAGGCTTCTGTTCCTCTCTGCCCAGGTTTCCAGCTCTGAAAACCTGTTCTCCCAGGTCTGCGTGTTTTGAGCCAGGAGCCACTGGCCAGAGATAAGGGTAGTGACTCACAGAGACCAGGAGCCTGGCCAGGCAAACCTGTTTAGGGCCCACCAGGCCTGGGGCTGCCAGAGGTGCTCAGGGGAAAGAAGATGCTGGGAGTGGGAAATAGAATATTCTGGAACCATCTCTCCCTCTCACCCTCCTTCCACTTTTTCTTTCTCCTTTGTTCCATCACTCTTCATCATCTTTCTCTCTGTTTCTCTCTTCATCTTCCTCTCATGCCACCTGTCTCCCCCACCCCCATCTTTCTCCCCATCTCTCCCCATCTCACTCTACCTGTCTCAGCACTCTCAATCTCTAGATCAGTCCCCTCCCTCTCCCAATCTCCTTCTCATCTTTATCACTTCCTCCATGTTCCCTCCACACTCTTTCCTAGGCTCTTATCTTGCCTCAGAGGCAAGTCCCTCCCTGTCCCCTACGTGCACTGTGACAGTCCTCACCTATTGGGAGATATACCTGCCCATGTGGGCTGCGCCTAGCCCAGGTGCTTGGTGAAGTCGAGGGACTGCTGCCTCCCTTTCTCTCTGGGACCTGCTGTTGTAGGCATCTATCCAGAGCTCCTCCTACAGTCAGCCAAACTCGTTTCTAGATATATGGACTGCCTGTTGGACTGCCTGAGACCTAACAGTGATATAGGCCAGCTATAAAGATATTTATATCTTCAGTCATCCATCCAGTGTGTGTTCATTAAACATCTATACACACTAGGCCCTGTGGTGAGAAAGACAGACATGGGCCTGTTTCGTGGAGTTGTGGCCTGATGAAAGAGCAGAGCAAGCCAGACAGGAGCCCAGCAGGGAGTGCTGGTCCTGGTAGAATGGCAAGACCATGGAGAAGGAATATGTGTCTGAGGAGAGGCAAGTCCCCTTAAAGGAGGGAGGAAGGTACCCCCACCCCACCCCAAGGGTCAGCAAGTAGAGCAGAGCAGGCTGTGTCCTGAGACCCATAGACAGCCCAGGGGAGATTAGCTAGTGAGGGGGCAGGACCAGGATGCCCTAGGTGAGCTCTGATCTCTGTAGGTACAACGCTGTCACCGGGGAATGGCTGAAGGACGAGGTTCTGATCAAGATGGCGTCTCAGGTGAGCAGAAGCTGGAGCTGTGAAGGGACAGGGCCTAGTAGGGTCTTTCCCAAGCCGTTTGTATACTGCCCTCCTTGAACGTGCACGCCAGGCTGGCCAGCATCGCACTCACTCTCACGACCTCAAACTCATGACCTTCCTGCCTCCACCTCCTCCACGTATGCTGTAACCCACTTTAACTTTTTTATCATTGGGATTTTTTTTTCCTCTGTGTTATCGTTTACCTGTTATGTTTTTTAATTGTATTTGTGCGTGCATGTGTGCGTGTGGACGTTTAGACCACAGAGTGTTTGCAGAAGGTCAACAACTTGTTTCTCTCTTTTCTCCCTGTGGATCCCAAGGATCAAATTCATGTTGTCATGCTAGGTGGCAAGCACTTTTACTTGCTGAGCCACCCTCCGGCCCTGTATTGTGTGTTTATTACTGCATTTATTTGTATGTGAAGGCACGCATGCTGCAGTGCAGGTAGAGGTCAGAGGACAACTTGGGACAGTTGGTTCTCTTTTCTTTGTTTCCTTGGTGTATGTATGTGTGTGTCTTGAGACAGGGTGGTTTCTCTGTGTAGTCCTGGCTATCCTATAACTCGATCTGTAGACTGAGGTAGCCTCAAACTCAGACACCCAACTGCCTCTGCCGAGAGCTGGAATTAAAGGCATGTGCTACCACACTTGACTTTTTTTCCCCCCACTTGGTTCTCTTTCCATCCTGAGTGCTCATATCGTCAGGCTTGGAGAAGCACGTTTACTCAGTGAGCCATCTCAGCAGCCTGCGTTTTGTGTCCGTAAATAATACTTCACTAACGTGTTAATTACAAAGTGCCCACTGAATTTACACAGTTCAGGCTTGGGATGCAGGTCAGGGGGGAACATGCTTGCCTAGGCCTTGCTGGAGCATGGACTGCCTATCAGGGGTTAGATCCTTGAGGCACACAGACACTCTCACAGGTTCAGCACAAGTTCAAGACAACCCAAATCCCAACTGGGACTGGGGATGGCCCACTCCCAGCCGAGGAGCGTCAGAACATCTGTACTTTTCGTTCCCACCCCATTCCTTCATCACCCTAACTTCTGGAAGCATCTGGCCCATGTTCTGTGATGTAGATTGCCCTGCTTTAGGCATCTCATATGTCATGAAGGCTTGTTTCTCGGCAGGTCAATGCCAATGGACTGATTCACGTGGCACTCCCTGTCTTCTGTTGTTCTTTTGTTTCTGGTTTTGTTTTTAAGCTGCTAAGCACATTCAGTGGCTACAACTACCTCCTGCAAAGAAAAAAGCAGAACTGAGAAAAAGAACTCCTCCTGCAGAGTGAGGGAACCTCTTACAACGTCACACACACACACAAGCACACAGTGGGGCTAGAGCTGTTCCTCATTGGTATGTATCTCAGTCCTCAGCATGCGGGAGGCGCTAGGCCCCATCCCCACACCAAGAAGCAAGCGAAGCATGCGTTCTTGGGGAGTGTTCCCAGCGTGGACACAGCACCCAGAGAGGCAGAGCAGGGCCAGTGTCCTCACAGGCTGTTCCTGGTCACTGCTCACCCACCAAGATCCAACTTTCCCAAACCCTCTCAGCCCAGGTGAGCCTTTCCCATCCTAAGACTTTCATCCTTCTGTCGTTTCGTCTTCTGAGTGTGGCTTCTTTCACTCAACATTTTTCATTTTCTTTTCTTTGCTGTGTAATACTTCATTGGATGAATAAACCTAGTTGTTTTGTGTGGCAGATTACCGATGGCCATTTAAGTTGCCTCTCCTCCCTTCCATCTGTTTCCACTGCTTTTCCTTCTTATATTTAAGTGTGTGGGGGCGTGTGTGTGCTTGTCAGCTTGTGTGTGTGTGTGTATGTGGGGGGGGGCATGTACAAATGAGGACCGTTCCCCAAGGGGCCAGAAGTGGGCCCTGAACTGAAGTTACCAGTACTTGGGAGCTGCTGACATGGATGCTAGGGACTGAACTCACGTCCTCTGCAGGGCAGAAAGCGCTCTTAACTGCTGAGCCTTTTTTCTAGCCTCTCTCCTTCTGTTTTGAGGCAGCATTGTTTAGCCCCTTACAGCGCAACACAATTCCCTACACAGTCACCTTTTTTTTTTTTTTTTTTTTTTTTTTTTGTCTCATTTTGTTTTTTGAGAGGAGGTTCCTCTATTTAGTCCCGGCTGTTCTGAAACTAGCTATGTAGACCAGGCTGGCCTTGAACTCACAGAAATCCTCCTGTCTCTGCCTCTGAGTGCTTAGGTAATCATTTTAAAGACAAAAAGGGTTATTTTGGCTCATGGTTCCGGAACTTCCGGTTCGTGGTCTGTTGACCGTGTTGCTTTGGGACTGTGTGAGCGCTGCACACCCCAGCTGGAGTATGTGGCAGAGGAGGCCTGTTCACCTGATGGTGGCCAGAAAGCAAAGACTGCGAACCTCTGTTGTGCACTGCCCTCCCCAGCATCTTGGCCCCATCCTGTGGGTTCTTCCATCAGGTTGAGATGATTTATCAGGAGTCCTCCTCTGCCCAGCAATCTCCAGGCTGAAAGGCCTCTCTGGCTTTGGTACTGAGGCCCAGGAGGGACAATCTATGATTGTTGGGATTGAGGTAAAGCCCAGGACTCCTATGGGCAGGCAGTGCCAGAGGGGATCACGGGGTGTGGGCACTGACGACTCTTTCCTGTCTTTCAGCCCTTCGGCCGTGGAGCAATGAGGGAGTGCTTCAGGACGTAAGTGACTTGGCCAGGGGATTCTTCCGGAGACTCGAAAGCTAGGACTTTGGGGTATTTCCAAGCAAAGGATGGAGACAGGTGGCCTAAGCCTCCTTGTAACCCAAGTTCTTCTCTATCCAGTGTCTGTTGGACCCCACACTGGCCCAGTTGTAGAACTCTGGAAGGAAAGGGAATGACCACTCCCCTGCTTGGGTATTTGAAGGCACAGAGAGTAGGATGGGAGGCCACAGACACTAGTCCTTAGCCCTTCTGGCTCTGGAAGGAGTAGTAGGGATGCTGCCTTTCCTGTACCTCCTATACTCCGTTTCTTCACGTAGCCATGTCAGACAGGGTTTGGCTGTTCTGACATCCCAAAGCCGTGTCCTCAGTGAACCCCTGAGTTCTAGACAGGCTCCCCCTTTTCTTTCTCCCCAGGAAGAAACTCTCCAACTTTTTGCATGCCCAGCAATGGAAGGGGGCCTCCAACTACGTGGCCAAACGCTACATCGAGCCTGTGGACAGGAGCGTGTACTTTGAGGATGTGCAGCTCCAGATGGAGGCGAAGCTCTGGGGAGAGGAATACAACCGGCACAAGCCCCCCAAACAGGTGTGTGAGCCCTTTGCCTTCTCACCAGTTGCTAAAGTCATTTTTTTTTTTTTTGACATAGTAAGCCATGGACATATGCACCGAATCATTTATTCCTGAAAAACAGAGCTACGTGATTGGAGCATTTTTATCTCTCTTTATAGATGGGACCTGTTTGTTAATGTTTTTATAAAACAAAGTAATTTTTTTCAAGGCAGGGTTTCTCTGTATAGCCCTGGCTGTCTGGGAACTTACTTTGTACACCAGGCTAACCTCAAACCCACAGAAATCCTCCTGCCTCTGCCTCCAGAGTGCTGGGATTAAAGGAATGAGCCACCACCCAGGATCAACCCTGGAGAGTTGCAGCTCCCCTTTCCCGAGTTTTGTTTGCAGATCATAGAAACCCACCTAGACCAGCTCCATCCAAGAAGGGAAGTCCTAGTTTTATGTACTTGAAATGAATCCAGCTCTAAGGCGTGGCTGCTGCCGACCATGCTGAGATTATCAGGAATCTTCTACTACTCTGGCTGGGTGTTTGGGTTGGCATCACTCTGTCATGTGTCCTGTTGGTCCCAGTGGCTACAGGCTCGTTTCTCTCCAACCTTATTGGGATGACGGTACCTTGTTTCCAAAAGGTTCCAATGAGTGTCAGAGCTAGGCACCGTTGACTCGGATTATCAGGTGCATATGTCTGAGCCAATCAAAGTATTCAGGTGGAGCAGTATGAGATGGATGGACAGTATGTACATACATAAAAGGTATGTGAGTGGGGCAGCCTGGGCCCTGTGCTGAGCCTCAGTCACACATGAAAGGTTTTCCACCTAGGCTATATGGGCTGGGGCTGGGAATGTGATGGCTTCCAATCAGAAGCAGCAGGTGTGGGGGTGGATGTGGGCTTCCTGAAGAACTGGGCTCAGTGAGGCTAGACCTGATCACGAAGGCAGAAAAGGAACCTGTGCTCCAATCCAGGAGTGCCTGTTCTCCGCCAGATTGCCTCCTCCCGTTATGTCATAACATGACCTGGTGCTAACCAAAACATCTCGTCTTTTGGGCATTTGAGCAAACACTCTCTATCCTTCATCCATTGTTTGAGTTCCTATTGGACACAGACCCTAGGTGTCCTCAGGAAAGCGATGCTTTCAGGCAGCCAGCAGAATTTATCCGTCTCATCTGCCTACAAGGCCTCTGATTGAGCACACTTGGGGTGAAGTCAAGAGGCCATAATCTACTGGGTATAGAGGCACACGTCCTTAATACTGGCACTCGGGAGGCAGAGGCAGGCGGATTTCTGTGAGTTCAAAGCTGCTACAAAGCAAGTTCCAGACCAGCCAGTGCCACACAATGAGACAAACAAACAAACAAATAGTGACAAAAAAATAAAGCCACAGCCCTACTCTCAGAGACTATGACCTCAGCAATTTGCAAAGCTCTTCCTTTCTTGCGTATTTCCTGCCCCAGGACCTTTGTTCTGGTCATGCCGTACTACTTCCCTAATACTTTTATGGAGAGCCTCTTCCCACAGTCCAGGGCTCGGTTTATAGCTCCACAGTGAGGCCATCGGTTCATCATCAATGAGGTCTCCCTCGTACCCAGTCACCGCTGTCATCACACAGGCATGCATGCATGCATGCACGCACGCACGCACGCACGCACGCATGCACTCCCAGGGATTTTGTGTCTTGTTTGTTTCTACCCCCTAGTGTCTGGGTTTATCAAGTGAGTAATAACAGCTGAATTAGAGAGAGGGAATGGATGTGGTTATCCAGCCCACTCAACCATATGCTTCCATTTACCCAGCAAACCCTCCAGCTACCTCACCCCACCATCCCTGGAGGGACCGAGTCACCCTGGAGATAGGACTCTTCCAGGGAACTACCCTTCCCCCTTAGGTTCTCAGAACTTCAGCTGTCTTTGCTTAAAGGTCCCAGCTGTCACGTCTGGGCTCAGGTTGCTTCTACAGCTGTCGCCTGCCTCTCTGGTGACCTTCCTCCTTAGAGGGTCATTGCTTTTGAAGCCTAAGTCTTTCCATGTTGTGGGTGGTACTGAGAGTGATAGGTGCCATGCAGAGTCCTCAGTAACTAGAAGCTGCAGATTAGGGCCGGAGAGAAGGCTAAGTGGTTAAGAGTCCCGGCTGCTCTTCCAAAGAACCCAGTTCAATTCCCAGCACCCACACGGCAGCTCACAACTGTCTGTAACCCCATTTTCAGAGGATCCAACACATACATGCAAGCAAAGCATCAGTGCACGTGAAATAAAAATAAATAAATTAGAAGTCACAGGTCTCTTTTACTCTGCTTTATAACCCATACATAGTATGTACATTACCAACCGTGCATAACATTCAGCACTTTATAAAAAACATTCAGCACACTTTATAAAAACTCAGCCAAACTTAGTGACACACACCTTTAATCCCAGCACTTGGGAGGCAGAGGCAGGTAGATCTCTGTGAGTTTGAAGCCATCCTGGTCTACATAGTGAGACCCTATCTTGAATCACCCCCCCCAAACAAAATAAGTCAATTAAAAATAAAGTAAAAATTCAAAAAATATTGACGTTTCTTGAAATTCCCCATTTCAGAGGGAAAAAAAAAACATTTTCCTTGTTATTGGGACCAAATATGTTACAAGGAGCAACTTAAGAAGGGCTAATTTTTGCTCACAGTTGATAGGAAAGGCCTATCAGCAGGAACATGAGGCAGATGGCAAAGCAGACAAGAAGTGAGGCTGGGCTGTAAAACCCCAAGGGCTTCGCAGTGTCCCACTTCCGTTGGTGAAGCTTCACTTCCTGAAGGTTCCATAGCACCACCAGTTTGGGACTCTGTCTCTAACATCGACCTACAATAACAATAGCATGAACAATGGCCTCTTTGTGCTTCGGTAGATTTAATCTTTGGGCCAAGATTTGACATCCTCGTATCTGCATGCTAGAAAACCAAAACACAGCAGCACATGCCTTTAATCCCAGCTTTTGGGAGGCAGAGGCAGGCAGATCTTTGAGTTCTAGGCCAGCCTGGTCTACAGAGCAAGTTCTAGGACAGCCAGGGCTACACAGAAAAAGCCTGTCTAAAAAACCAAGGGAAACAAAATAAAAAAACCATAAAACACAGTGACATGAGATAACTTGCCCAAACTTTTAGTATTAGTGCCATGCCCAGTCTGAGTTACTAGCAAACAGATCCGTAAATTTACACACACACAAAATTTCTAATTTGTGTAAAAAGTGGCTCTGAGTGGGCTGCATTGACCATGGTTCCAGTTATGGATCCCAAGCAGTCCACCTTGCAGGGAAGGATGCAGTTAAGGGATTGGTAGTCCTCATTTCCCATTGGCTAGGTGTGGCCACATGGTCGCACCTAGCTGCAAGAGAGGCTTGCTAACCAATGCGAATCCCTTTGTGATCCTGACTGTGAGCCATTTAAAGGAAAGGAGGGATGGTGGATTCTGGCTGCAGGTGGCACTTCTTGCAAGAGTGATGAGACCAGGATCTGTGCCCAGGTGAGCGCCTATCCCAGCCCTTCCCCTTGACCCTGTTCCCTGCTCTTCCACCAGGTGGATATCATGCAGATGTGCATCATTGAGCTGAAGGACAGACAAGGCCAGCCCCTCTTCCACCTGGAGCACTACATTGAGGGCAATTACATCAAGTATAATTCCAACTCAGGCTTTGTCCGTGATGACAACATCCGACTAACACCACAGGTGAGGGCCTGGGCTTGCTCTGCCCACGCTCTTATCCTGCAGCCCCTTGGGAGATCCCTGTGGGTAGAGCGTTACATCCTCAAAGGCTCATCAGGCCCATTGGAACATGTGTGATCCCAGGACCCCAACATGCCAGGTGCCTGCCCTGCCATGGAACAGCATTTTCAGCTCCTAAAGAAGACTCCATCATCCCTTCCCATGTCCCATTTCCATGTGTATGTCAGCCGTGCATGGTGTGTTTGTGTGTATCTGCATGGGTGTGTACATACACCTACATGATGTTGGGAATCATCCTTGATCATTTTCCATCTTACTCTTTGAGGCAGGGTCTCTCAATCAAACCCAGAGCTCACTGATGTGGCTAGTCTTTCTAGCCACCTTGCACAGATGATCACATCCCCACCTTCTAAGGCTGGACTTACAAGGTGGGCCTCCATCTGCACCCAGCATTTATGTGGGTTTGAGAATCCAGGTTCTGGTCCTGATGTTTGCATGGTTAATGGTTTGACCGCGCCCCCACCCCCAAGATTCTTCTTTTTTTTTTTTTAAGCAATACACCTGCCACCCTCTGCTGGTTTCTTTCAACAGCCCCAAGATGTCCATAAGTCCGGAAGCCCTTTGCAGAGTTGAACAGATTTCCTTCTTTCATCGTTTGCTCTATAAAGCTCTGCTTACAGAGAGCGCCCCCAACAGGGCAGACCTGCACAGCAGCTGGCCAGCACCTGCCCCGTCCACAGTTGGGTCTGTTAAAACTACCTTCTCTTCCTGGCCCCACATAGGCCTTCAGCCATTTCACATTTGAGCGTTCTGGCCATCAGCTGATTGTGGTGGACATCCAGGGTGTGGGTGACCTCTATACCGACCCACAGATCCACACGGAAAAAGGCACTGACTTTGGAGACGGGAATCTCGGTAAGTGTGTGGCGGGGGGGTGGAGGGGTTAGGCTCTGTCTGCAGAGACCATGGCCCCTAAAAGCTGTTAGTGCTTTCTACATCCATGGGAATACACTGAGACACTGGTAGGTCCTGTGATTACGAGAGTGGGAACTTAGCTTATCTGATCCACCATCCCTCCAGTTCAGTGGGGTTTTGTTCCTGCGTGTTCCAACCATATTTTTAGTGTCCCCACTGTCCTTTATCCCTGAGCAAAAGTAAGACCCCAGACACCCTTCCCTTGTTCTGCCTGCAGGTGTCCGGGGAATGGCTCTCTTCTTCTATTCTCATGCCTGCAACCGTATTTGCAAGAGCATGGGCCTTGCACCCTTTGACCTCTCGCCACGGGAGCAGGACGCGGTGAATCAGAGCACCAAGCTATTGGTGAGTATGCAGCAGCAATCTCACCTGGCTAGCTCTTCTGTCGCCAAGAAGGCAGACCTTGCTACCTCTGGGGTGGCATTAGCTTGGCTTTGGCCTGTTTGTGACCTGAGTGAGCAAAACAGGCAGAAGCAGAAGTGACAGGAAACATGCATGCATACCCGCATACATAGGTGACTAGACCTGGCCATCTGGGCCTGCCAAGTATGAACAGTGGGACCATCCACCCAGCTCACTCGACTACTGGCCTCTGGGTATACATTGGTCTATGCTTCCACAGCCTGTGGAGCACAGCCAGTGCTTTAGGAAACAGACTAGTAGCCCCTTTGAGCCCCATCCACAGGCCCCTTTTGGATACCGTAGGATTAATCTTAGTCTGATTTTTTTTCAAGATTTCCTGTTAGACCTGTATAAAGTTATGGATGAAGCTGGGCGTGGTGACTCACACCTGTGATCCCAACATTCAGGGAGGCAGAGGCAGGTGGATCTCTGTGAGTTTGAGGCCAGCCTGCTCTACAAAGTGAAAACAGGACAGCCAAGGCTACACAGAGAAACCCTGTCTCAGGGGGAAAAAAAGTTATGGATGAAGAGAATCCTCCATTCCCTATAGTGTTCTCGAATGACATGAATATCCCCATTAATGTCCCCAGCAATCAGCCAAGACCATCTTGAGGGGGACAGAGGAGAAGTGCGGGAGTCCCCGCATAAGGACACTCTCTGGAAGCAGGCCCCCCTTGCTCCTTCGCCTTTCGGAGAACTCCGGGGATGAGAACGTGAGCGATGTGACCTTTGACTCTCTGCCTTCCTCCCCATCTTCAGCCACTCCACACAGCCAGAAACTGGACCACCTCCGTGAGTCATGTGACCGTAGGGTGCAGGTGTCAGGCAGAACAGAGCTGAACTGGTTTCACCCGTGGTAGCAAACGAGACAGTTTAGCCCAGATGGCCGTACTGGTGAAATCACAAGACAGACTCTCAAGATGCAGCCATCCAGTGTGCCAAAACAGCCTCTGTGGTAGACAGTCCACCTCAGTGTGCTGGATGAAACTAACAAAGCCAGCATCTGACAGAATGCAGAAGGGAGCGTTCCATGTACAGGGAAGAAACGTTGCGAATAAGCCAGTTATTACGGTTCATGACTAAGATAGAGGCAGGGAATTCTCTATGAGTTTGAGGCCAACCAGAGCTACATAGTTAGACTCTTTCTCAAAAAAAAAAAAAAAAAAAAACCAAACACCCACCCTCCAAAAAAGGGGTAAAAAAAATCTAACAAATAAAGACTACATGGTCGAATCATTCTGTATTAGGAAACCTGTTAACATCATATCAAATAAGTCAAAAGAGCAAAGCTGAGGCTGGCAAGATGGCTCACTGGATAGAGGCACTTGCATTAAATACTTCTTAAAAAATTGTCCTGTGTATCCACGGATATGCACTGGGGGCTGAACACAGGCCTCCCTCTTGTTTTGGCTTATTTTCTACCATTGAGCTTTCCCCAGCCTGCAGACTTAATCAAAATGGTCAGCTTACTGAGTGTGATGGCCATGCATTTATCCCAGCACTTGTGAGTTCAAGACCAGCTTAGTCTATATAGTGAGTTCCGCAACAACCAGAGCTACGTAGTCAGATCCTGTCTCAAGCAGTAATAACAGCAGCAGCAGCAGGTCAGGCAGACAGGCAGGCTGCAGCTTGCTTAGGACAGGAGACAAGAATGGGGACTGTCAGGAACCAGGTGGCTTCTTCTTCCAACTGTGCACACAGCAGAGGCACAGATCCCTGCCTATCCAGCGGCAGACTTGGAAAGACTTAAGAAAGAACTGTAGTTTTTCAGGGTTGAGGGTTTCCTTTTCCCATGTCGTGCTTCTCTTTAGAAATCAAAAGTAAAAATTCTGGGTGTGGTGGTACATACCTGTGACCCCAGCACTTGGTAGGCTGAGACAGAGGGATTGCCAGGAGTTCGGGCTATAAGTATTGAGGTTTGGTTTGGGTGCTGTGTGCCTTAGTCAGGCCATGTGCTGACTGGCATGTATGTCCTACCATCAACTTTGCTTGCCCCTGCTCAGACTGGCCAGTGTTTGGTGACCTCGATAACATGGGCCCCAGAGACCACGACCCTGTGGACAATCACCGGGTGAGTGGAGGGGAGGGAGGCTGCCGGCTGCCATCCCAGGGTGGTGTGGAAGGGGGCTTTGGGTTAAAAGGGGCAGTCCAGCTCAGGTCTGCTGTGGGCATGGCATCTCTCAGATTGCCCCATAGGCTCAAGTTCATTTTCGGCTGCTGTTCGGAATCATCACCTTGACCAGATGGTATTTAAAGAACCCTGATTTCTCACTTGATTCTCAAAATGTACGAGATAGATTTTTCTTCTTCCCTTTACAAATAGATTTTAATCTAGAATTAGATGGGACCTGGGGATGTGTGCTCAGCTGGTAGAGAGAATGTTTGCCTAGCATACATGAAGCCCTGAGTTCCATCCCTAGTACCACAGATTCTAGGTATGGCGGCATATACCTGTAATTCTAGCACTCGTGGAGGCAAAAGGATCACAAGTTCAAGGTCATCCTTGGTGACATAGTAAGTTTCAGGCCAGCCCGGTCTATGTGAACTCCTGTCTCAAAACAAAAACACAGACTATCTAAATAAGTGAGGAAAGGCACATTTCCTTCACTGTTTATCCTAAATTTCGGCCCTGTGTTATTTGGCTTCTTTAGTACTGTGTGATGAAGCAGAACACGGTGGCAGAAGTTCCTTGCCCCGTGGTGGCCAGGAAACGGGAGGTGGGGAGCAGCAAAGAGGCCAGAAGGGTCTGGGGATAAAAGGTATTTTGAGGTGTGTTCCAGGAACCTGCTTTCTCCTACCAGGGCCCACACCCTAATAACACATTCAGCTATGAGCTCGTACCTGGGGTTACCCCATCGATGAGGTTGGCACTCTCATGATCCCTTCACTTCTCAATAGCACAACTAGCTAGGGACCTGGGGGGGAAGGGCACATTTAAACCAAACAGCTCTTCAAAGGAGGTACTAGAATGAATCCCCAAGCCAAGGAAACGGAAACGCAGAGAAGCTGAGCAGTTGCCCAGTCTTGGTTGGCGATTAGCAAGGCCAGGGCTTGTGCCTAAGTTCTTTGCTACTGCTTTTTACTGCTCTCTGGTCCCCCGGCCAGCAGGAGGCAGGAAGAAATAAGGTAATAAAGCAAAGGAGAGAAAACAGGTGACTGGGATGTCCAGATGTCCCTCCAGGTACTTGGAGCACCACCAAACCCTAAGGTCATCTTCTCTCTGCAGGACTCTGAGAACAGTGGGGACAGTGGATACCCAAGCGAGAAGCGAAGTGACCTGGATGACCCTGAGCCCCGAGAACATGTAAGCACCCCCAGACCCTGAGACCAGAGACCTTCATCACCTCACCCATTATCCTTAAAGATAAAAAGCTAAAGGGAACGAGAGTTGCTCTTGAGAACAAGTAAAATTAAAACAGTCAACCAGGTTTCAGATGAAGGCCAGTGCAGGGGAGAAGGTGAAGTGGGCTGAAATGGACAAGGACGGGGAAGAGAGAGCAGCTTGGATAGAAGGTTGAAAAATAACAAGCAGGCTGGGCATGGTGACACACTTGAGTGGTCCGGAATATATCCAGACTACACTAAGGATACCCTGTCTCAGAAAGAACAACAACCACAAAACAAACAAACAAAATCCAAGGACAAGAAAATGGCAGAGAAACCTTTGAAGCTGGAATCTTTGGTTGCTGAGCAGAGAGGATGCTGGGTAATGGGCTTCACTGGTGCTGGTATAGCTAGGAGGGTGTGTGGCTGTAGGACCTAACGGTGGCAGGCCTGAGTTGGGGAGCAGGTCCTCAGGCCTGCTTCCTCAGTCTCCCTCCCAGCACTGGGTGGGAGATGACTTCAATACTGTCAGCCCTTCAGAGACTTCACCATGCATCAAAATGGCCTGTTGCACGGAAGGCCTTGGTCCCTGCTATATAGTTATGAACGTAAGGCATGCAGGAGGAGGCTTGGCCGGAGGAAGAACTAACCACTATTTCCCCAGTGGCTTCACGCTGACTCTGGTACCCAGGGGTCACTTCAGTCTGTTCATACAGAGACAAGATGGCTATGAACTCATGAGCTCTGCCAACAAAGGGTCCAGCTTCACCAGGGGCTAGCAGAGGACTAGTGACCCTAGAGGAGGGGCCCTGGGAGGGACTGGGCCTGCCCCCCAGGAGAGGGAGAAAGGTCTTCCTCCCACAATCACTCAGTCTCTGCTCCCTTGCAGGGCCACTCCAATGGCAACCGAAGGCCGGAATCAGATGAGGACAGCCTGGGCAGCTCTGGTCGGGTATGCACTGATAGGAACCGGCCTGCCTCTTCTGGCCCTTACTGTGTTCTGCCCTCCTCCTGACACACTGCCTGCCCCTCCACCTCGTGCATGTTCGTTCTGCAAAGATCAGGTTGGGGGCCGTATCCCGGGCAAGGGAGACTTGCATATACACAGTTTGACAGCTTGAGAGGGGCCCAAAGTCTAACCATGAGATCCGTTGTGTACGTTTAATACGTACTTCAAACATGAAGGCCGAGGGTAATTTTACATACTACTTTTGGTGCACTTGTCTTTCGGCCACTGTGTGTGTGATAGGTGTCTCAGCGATGGCTCCTGTCAAGCATCTCTTGGAAAGGCCGGCCATCAGCTCTTGTTATTCTCTGATTCTTGAACATGCTGTGAGACCCTCACCGCTCTGTGTTTGCTGAGAGGTCCTCCTGCCTGTAGAATCCTTCCTCCCCTAAAGCCTGATCCCTGAAATCTGGAGCCCAGAGGCACCTTCTAACCCTGATCACCCCAGCAGCTGGATTCTTTGTCCTCTGCTGATGGTCACGTGACACCTTCTTGGCCTGGAGTATGACAGAGTTGCTCCACTGAGTCACCGTTGGCATTCTGGGCTGAGTCCTTCTTGCTTCAGGGCTGCAGGGCATTTAGCTGTATTCCGTGAAGTGTCTGATCGATGTAGCCCGCCTACCTCATCTGGGTTGACTCACAGAGAAAGCAAGTGTGTCTGTGGGAGTCAGATTTTCCTGGTGTGCCTGGTGTGAGGAAGCGCTTAGAAGGCTTAGCATCGTAGAAGGGTACGGTGGCCCACACCTGTGATCCCAGCACTCAGGGAGGCAGAGGCAGGTGGATCTCTATGAGTTTGAGGCCAGCCTGGTCTACAAAGTGAAACCAGGACAGCCAAAGCTACACAAAGAAACCCTGTCTCAAAAAAAAAAAAAAAAAAAAAAAGACTTAGCAATGATCCAGCTTCAGGCTCAGGGCCACTGGGGTCTGTTCTGCTGGTCCCTGTTGCCTGTTGATGCCTTCTGTAATACCTATGAGCTGGTGACAAGTGAATAATTAGAATTGGAGCCCTGTAGGGTGGGGAGGTGGGGGTGATTATTTGTAATCCCAGCACTTGAGAGGCTGAGAAAGGAAGATCCTGAATGCAAGGCCAGCCAAGGCTACATTGTGAGTTCAAGGTCCATCTGGATACAAGACTCTTGTTTGAATTGTCAGAAACAAAGCAAAGGAATTAGAGCCACGCTTGTCCAGTAGAGTTGGATGGCGTTAGGGGGTTCCTATCCCTCCCTAACCAGCCAGCTTCTGTTGCTGTGGCTTCGTACTTCTGTGACAGCACATCCACTCACTCCTCTGCCTTTAAACTCCCAGCCCCTCACTTCTCCAGCCTTTAAACCCATCCACCTGGTCTCTCCCATCAGGTCTGTGTGGAGACATGGAACCTGCTCAATCCTTCCCGCCTGCACCTGCCGAGGCCCTCGGCTGTGGCCCTGGAAGTGCAAAGGCTAAATGCCCTGGACCTTGAGAGGAAAATCGGGAAGTCTGTTTTGGGGAAGGTATGGGTGATGCCTATTCCTGAGCTCAGGGCTCACTCCCCTCCTCCACTAATCGCTTCTTCCTGCAGGCTGGTTGGGCTGCCCTCAGGCATGGCTTTGGCTTCCCAGGCAGCCAGAGCAACACTGAAGTCTGTGTGACAGGTCCATCTGGCCATGGTACGGTACCACGAGGGCGGGCGCTTCTGTGAGAAGGATGAGGAATGGGACCGAGAGTCAGCCATCTTCCACCTGGAGCATGCAGCCGACCTGGGAGAACTGGAGGCCATCGTGGGCCTGGGCCTCATGTACTCTCAGCTGCCCCACCACATCCTGGCTAATGTCTCTCTGAAGGTGAGGGGATGTGTGCACCCAAGCTAAAGTGAAGGGCTCAGCCAGTCCATCTCTTATGGCCTCCATCCTGGAAGTCACCTACTGGAGGATTTCGTTCTGTTCTGTTTTGTTTTTTGTTGTTGTTTTTCTAGCTGTCCTGGAACTCATTATGTAGACCAGGCTGGCCTTGAATCCCCAGAGATCTGCCTACCTCTGCCTCCTGAGTGCTGGGATTATAGGTGTACCCTACTATGCCCAGCTTCAACTGGAGGATTTTCGTGGGTAGACAGGCCTAGTGGCTCACTCTTGTAATCTCAGCACTCAGGAGGCTGAGGCAGGAAGATCATGAGTTTTAGGCCAGCCTAAAACAAGTGTCTCAGTGATGGTTGGCATCAGGCATGTATAGGAAAGGCCAGCCTACTATACTCATTATTACCTGACTCTCAAAAAAAGAATTCTGACTTCTGGTTTGGGATCAATCACTTTAGAGGTATAATTGATCTCTATCTTTGGCCAGTTAGTGGAAGTAACAAATTATGGGTTCAGGTAATAAATGACAGGATATGCTAGGAGAAACGGAAGTCTTGGTGGAAATAAGTGAGGAAGAGGCCTGTATGGGTCTTTGATGTGTCTATGTGAACCTCTTGATAGTGCTTTGGGCCACATTATTATAGCTGGCACAGAGCCTGGCACTCAGTAGCTTCTCATTCATTCAGAGATGGGTGGACAAAAGGCTGGCCATGTGAAACAGAAAGGCTGTGTAGGGATGAGGTAGGCAGAGTGTGGGAGGTGAGCCATTCCCTTAGAGATAGATACCAGATAGATATCATGCATACTCAAGCCCAGAGGTGAGAATCAAAATAGCCACAGAGGTCATTAGTACTGGAATGTGGGATGAGGCGGTGCAGAAGCTGGGGCTGAAGAGCCAGGCAGGTAGCAGCTGAAACAACAAGATGGTGACATGGCAGAAATGGTGTCTGGTTCTCCTCCTCTTTTCCTGGTCCTTGGGCACAGGAGGGAAGAGTTGAATGGACAAGGACTGGAAAAGCTTCCTGGAAGAGACTGAGAGGCTGAGAGGCCGTGGTGGGTGTGTCTGTCCTCATCTGTCCCTCTCTGTCCTGTCACGGTGGTAGAGGCTGTGCGTGGATAGGTGGCTGGACAAAGCAGCAGCCGGTCACAAATGGGCATGTGTTCTATAGTTCTATTCCATGTATGTAGGACACATCCAGAGTCCATGGAGATAGAAAGCGGACCAGTCATTGCCTCTGGCTGGGGGAGGATGGTGGAAGGGGTATAGGGAACGCTTGTGAGTTGTGGGGTATGGTCTTTTTTTTTTTTTTGATTGTTTAAGATGTTCTGACATTGGGCCAGCAAGATGGCTCAGTGGGCAAAGGCACTTGCCACAAAGCCTGACAGCCTGAGTTCAATCCCTGGGTCCGACATGGTAGAAGGAAAGAACCAACTCCCACAAATTGTCTTCTGACCTTACATATATACAGTCACACACAATAAATAAGTAAGTATAATAAAAATTTAGGGTTTGTTTTGTTTTATGAGGCAGGGTGTCTTTGTGTAGCCCCAGCTGTCCTGGAACTCACCCTGTAGACCAGGCTAGCCTCAAATTCACAGAGATCCGCCTTCCTCTGCCTCCTGAGTGTTGGGATTAAAGGTGTATGCCGCTACCGCTCTGCTAAAATTTAGTTTCTCCAGTCCTTGGTGGGGACTGCTGGACAAGTCCATCGATAATCTAAAAGCCGTGAACATGTTCTCTGGCAGTCCCAGCCCAGAACTCTCAGAACTAAAGAAACTGAAGATGGACAAGGGAGTCCCCAAAGCCTCACGTGCATACTCCTTTGCTGTTTGTGTCCTTGCTCTTTGGCAGGAGACAGACGAGAACAAGATGAAAGGCTTCGAGTACTTACTGAAGGCGGCAGAAGCTGGTGACAGGCAGTCCATGATCCTAGTGGCCCGAGCTTTTGACACTGGCCTGAACCTCAGCCCAGACAGGTACTGGATGATGCTGGGGTAGTCTGGGCCACAGGGGATGCTTTTCCTTTCATTCAGGACAGACATGGGTTCTATTCTTGGCTCTGCCTGTTTACCAATCCAGTGACCTTCAACAAGTTACTTCCCTGGCCTCTGTTTCTTCATTTGGTGAAATAGGAATAACGATGGCATCTATCTATCGCTAGTGATGGTCCCATGAAGATTAAATACCTTCCCTACAGTGCCTGACACAGAAAGTATGTAATAGATGACAGCCATTTTGCCAGTATCTGTGAAGATTTGCTTAGGAGAAAAATCAGAAAGATTATGTAGTTCAGTATGATTGTCTTCAGAGAATAGAATTTAGGGTGATTTTTTTTACTGCATTTTCCTGCTCTTGTTTTGATTGTTTTCTTTTAACGCAGTGTTGAAGAGTGGAGGGTGGAGAAAGCCAAGGCCAGGCAGTCAGGACTAAAGTTACCTAGAGCTGCTGTTCCCCACATGCTTCAGGACACTCTGAGCCCTTCCAGCAGACTTCTCTCTGTTCTTTGGTAATCTGTTGTAAACAATCCTCAGCTGGCTGACAGCAGAGAGAAGCAGCCAGGTGCCATGTTAGTTCTGTGGTTTGTGAAACTTTGGATAGGGCATAGGTACCCCCTTGGTGGTTTACCTCATGTGCATTACTGAAAGACCTAGAGATCTAGTGACTAGACTGAGAGAGAGTCTCCATGGGCAGTGGAGAGCAGGACTGGCTGTCACAGGCAGAGCCTGAGGAGGCTGGCTGTGGTGGTAGATGCCTGTAGGCCTAACCCTTGGGATTCCGAGGTAGAAGCTTGAGTTCCCATAAGCAAGGCCTGCCTACATAGACCTTGTTAGCAAATAAAGAAACAGGGGTCTGGTTTATTGCTGTTAATTCAGATGGTTCCAGAGCAGCGGTTCTCAACCTGTGGGTCACAACCCCTTTGGGCCTGAACAACCCTTTCACGGGGTCACCTAAGACCATCAGAAAACTCAGATATTTACCTTACGGCTCATAACAGTAGCAAAATTACAGTTACGAAGCAACAACAAAAATAATTTTATAATCGGGGTCACCACAACGTGAGGAACGGTACTAAAGAGTCACAGCATTAGAAGGTTGAGATCCACGGCTCCAGGGGCTTCTGCAGCAGCCCTCGCCTCCCACCCTTTCTGCTCCTCAGGTAAAGGGTGGCATAGCAAGGTCACCGGCCCTGCAATGTGTAGCCCACAGGGTGCCGAGTCATAGATGTCACCCTTCCCCAAGGTATTCTCCTCCCATTAGTGAAAGAGCTGTCATACTGTACCACTTCCCCCCCCCCCCCCCAGACAGGGTTTCTCTGTGTAACAGCCCTGCTGTCCTGGACTCAATTTGTAGAACAGGCTGGTCTCAAACTCAGAGAGATCCACCCACCTCTGCTGGGATTAAAGACATGCACCACCACGCCTGGAATATTATGTCAGTTTTGTTAAGGGAAGATCCCTTAAAAATTATAGAAACTGACAAGGCCATGGTGGCAGCACCTGCCTTTAATCCCAGCACTCCAGGTAGCAGAGGAAGGTGGAGCTCTGAGTTTGAGGCCAGCCTGCTATACAGAAAAAGTTCCAGGATAGCCAGGGCTACACAGAGAAACCCTGTCTCGAAAGACCAAAAGAAGAAGAAGAGGAAGAGGAGGAAAAAAGGAAAAAGAAAAAGAAACTGGGGCCAGAGAATTTACCTGGAGGTTAAGAGCCCTTGCTGCTCTTCCAGAGGATCTGAGTTCTGTTCCCAGCACCTACAACAAGAAATTCACAACCACATGTAACTCTAGCTCCAGGGGATCCCATGCCTTCTTTTGGCCTCCGTGTACAGCTGCATACACACTCGGGGACACATGAATCCAAATTAAAAAAAAAAAAAAAAAAAAAAAAAACATAAACATAAAAAGTCTGCAAGATGAAGGTGTCCTTTAGCTGTGGTGGCCTTTGGTACTATAGTTGGTGGATCAGAGGTTGGGGTTGCAGTGGGACCCCAGGCTTGCCCTCCAGCTCAGCGGTCCTCTGTCCTCCCCCATTGCCATAATAAAACCCCTCTCCCCTCTCTGTCTCCTGGCAAGGTGTCAAGATTGGTCAGAAGCCTTACACTGGTACAGCACAGCCCTGGAGACAACGGACTGTGATGAAGGTGGAGAATACGATGGGATACAGGATGAGCCCCAGTATGCACTGTTGGCCAGGGAGGCAGAGATGCTGCTCACTGGTGGATTTGGGCTGGACAGGAACCCCCAGCGATCAGGTGAGGCCCACAGACCTTCCCCGGGGTAAGAGAGGGCTGGTGGAGATCTATCGTTCTCATCCCACTGGAATTACAAGTTATCAGAAAAGTCCCTTTCTACGGTAGGGGGCTTTATATAGCTGGCATGCAGACGAACATCTTAATTTTACTCTATCGTATTTTATTTTATATGTGTGGGTGTTTCTCTACATGTGTGTGCCTGCTACCCTCAGAGGCCAGGAGAGAGCTGAATCCCCTGGAACTGGAGTTAGCAGGTGGTTGTGAGCTGCCATGTGGGTGCTGGGAATCGAACCTGGGTCCTCTGCAAGAGCAGCAGATGCTCCAGCCTGATTTTTTTATTTTATCTTATTTTTTTTTTGAGGTGGTCTGACTGTGTAGTCTTGGCTGGCCTGGAGCTCACTATATAGATCAGGCTGGCCTGGAGCTCACAGAGATCGACCTGCTATTGCCTCCTGAGTCCAGATTTGAGTTATGTGCGGTATGATTAACAAGATATATACTTTAGAGATTGGTAGCGGGGAGAGGAGTCCCAATATCACAGGTATGAGCTCAAGCATGAGGACCTGAATCCGGATCCCCAGCACCCATGTAAAAAGCAGGATGTGGGCTGGGAGGTTGTGGCACACGCCTTTAATCCCAGCACTCGGAGGCAGGGGTAGGCGATCTCTGTGAGTTCAAGGTCAGCCTGGTCTACAGAGCAAGTATCAGGACAGCCAAGGCTACAAAGCAAGGGGAAAAAGCGGGATGTGGTATTCCTATAATCTATAGTCATATAATCTATAATCCCAGTCTCTGCCTGGCAAAGACAAGTGGATCCTGGGGATCTGCTGGCCAACCAGTGTAGCTGAAATAGCAAGCTCCAGGTCCAATGGGAAAGCGACCCTGCCTCAAAAAAATAAGAGAACAGCAGAAAGGAGGTGGGGGGGGGTCTGAGGTCACCCTCATAATCTAAGTTTATGTCACCAGAACCCATGTAAAGGTGGAAGAGAACTGAGTTCCCAGAATTGGCCTCTGACCTCCACACCTACACCATGGCACGTGTACCCCAAATACTTAAAAAATAAATAAGGGGGAGAGACAGATGAAGGCATCACATCAAAATATATGTATATAAATTAAGTAAGAATACAGTCAGTCTCCCCAAGTTTTGCATCTATAGACAGAGACTTAACAATCTTTACTTGTTTTGTATGTTTGTGTATGCATGTACACACCGAAGCACATATGTGAAAACCAGAGGACAGTGTGTGGGAGTCAGTTCATTCCTTATCATACACAGACTTTTCTTGCTGTTCTTCTCCATATTTGTTACCTTTCCATTGCTGTGATAGACTACCCTGAGGAAAACAACCTCAGGAAGAAAGGACTTACTTTGGTTTACACAGCCAGAGGGGATTTTGCTCCCAGTCTGTCGTGGTGGTGAAGTTTGGCACCAACAGCCAGAGGCTGGGCCAGCAGTCAGGAAGCACACACAGGAAGCAGAGAGGGAAAACAGGAAGTGGGGCAGGCTCTACAACCTCAAAGCTGACGTACTTCCTCCCATAAGGCTCTACCTCCTAAATATCCCACACCCTTCCCAAACAGCATCACCAGCTGAGGACCAGTGTTCAAACCCGCGAGCCTACGGGAGACATTTCGTTCAGGCCACAGCAGCTCCTCAGCTGCACAGCACATGCCCCTTCGTGGCACCTGCGCCGATTTTGGCCTTCCAAGTCATCTAGAGGTGACTGGAGCAAATGGGAGAAGATGCACAGGCTGGACTCGAGCACATGTTGCTGGCCTTGGTAGATCCTGGAACCAACCTCCCCCAACCCCCGTGAGGGACGGTTATTTATGGGCAGGCTTTGCAGTTTTAAAGATGACGCTGATGTTGTGGTAAATTTAAAAGGTGTGGCCTAATACATGTTTATTATCAGGCTCTAGTCATTACGGCGGTATTATATAACCCGCCAGCAATCAATCAAATGAAGGCACAGACACCTGTTGTATTTTATAAAATAGCCTTTACTTGGGCCACTGCAGATGTTAACCCTCTAAACCAACTTTACCTCCCAGCCCCAATCTCGAGCTACCTCCCATCTATGGTCCCAAAAAGCTTATTAGTGTTCTCCAGCTCCTCCATCCACGCTGATCCTGTCACGTGCTCCTTTCCCATGCTAAGCCATGGTGCCAGTCCATTGCCTTCTCCTCCTGTCTTGCCTTCTCCTCTCCACTGGTGGTCCCTCGACCCCCTTCTGCGAACCCCAAACTCCACCTCCCTTTCTTTTGCCAGATCCCAAACTTCAGCAGTTTTTGTTTGTTTGTTTGTTTGTTTGTTTTTAATCAACCAGTCAGCTTTAAATTAGGTGGAACAAGATTTACACAAGGATGGGTTTATGAGAGAATGTGCTCAGCTGAGCAGGGACAAGATCTTGGTTGGCTAGTACTTAACATCAAACCACATAGCACCAGGCCAACCCCCAACCAGCTGAACTCTTCCTAACGTTTCATCTCCCATCACGATTATCTAACTGTAAACATCCACACACCCTGAAAGAAATCCTGTGTCAGTTAGCAATCGCTTTCAGCATCCTTCCCCACTTCTCAGCAATCACTGATCTACTCTCTGTCTTGAAGGATGCGCCTGTTCAGGACTCACTTTACAGGTGGAATCACACAAAATGTGGTCTTTTGTGTCTGGCTTCCTTGCTCTCTGTTTTGAGGAAAGGTCTGTGTAATCCATCTGGTTACAAACATACCTCAGCTTATGCCGTAGCTACAGGCATGCACTTCCTTACCTGGCTCATCCGTTTTGTAAAAGAAAACGTTTTTCTCATCTATGTATGTGTGTGTGTGTGTGCGAGCGCAAGGGGATATCAGAGGGCGGCCTGTGGGGATTTGTTCTCTTGTTCTTTCCTTCTACCCTGCCCCAGAGATTCAGCTCAGGGCCTCAAGCTGGCAGCACATTTGTCTTTGCACGCTGACGTCTTTTCTTTTATTACTTTTATTCTATTATTTAGTAATTTTTGTCTTTTGTTACCGTTATTCCTTTGCTATATAATATGCCACTCGGTGACTCTACCACATTTTAACTACTGTAATCTGATGGAGATGTTAGATATTTTTTAAACTTTAAAAATTTTAATTATTTTTAATGTATGTGTATGTGTGAATGTTTGCTGAGTGGGTAACCATACCTGTGGAGGCCAGAAGAGGGTTCTGGGTCCTGAAAACTGGAGTTATAGGCAGTGATGAGCTGCCCAATGTGGACACTGGGAACTGAGCTTGGGTCCCTTGAAGGGAGGTAAGCAGTCTTAATTGCCAAGCCATCTGTCTCTCTAGCCACACCATTAGATACTTCTTTTAGTTTTGAGCTGCCATATAGTCTGGTTGCTATGGACAACAGAAATTCCTTTTTCAGGTTGGGGTGTGGCTCAGTGGTAGAATTCTCGGGTGTCCTACAAGTGCTTGCCTTCCACAGCAACACCAGGGAATATAAAACTGCCCTGGCTGGCCAGGTTTGCTCATAGGCTACCCCCCAGAGACTTGGATCATAACATACAGGTTGGGTTGCTATAGACACCTCAGATGCTCTTTTGGGTGAGATGAGGTTTGCTAGCTTGATGAAGACAAGTAGCTCACCTCTTTGTGCCCTGCTTTCCTCTCTTTCAGGAGACTTGTACACGCAGGCGGCTGAGGCAGCGATGGAAGCCATGAAGGGCCGGCTAGCCAACCAATACTATGAGAAAGCAGAAGAGGCCTGGGCTCAGATGGAGGAATGATGCTCCCATAAGATCACTGCCAGCTAGTCCCAAGGAGAAGGGCTAGGGAGAGGGGAGGGGGGACTCTTTTCTTCTGGGAGGAGACAAATAGTTTTACAAAACTATAAATTCACTTTTGTATTTCATTTTTTTGCCTCTTGTCAAAGTCTTTGCGATTGGCAGAGACACTATAACTGCCCTTTAGGGGCAGTATTTTGTTCTGTTTGTTTGTTGAGGTTCCATTTTTCTTTCTTTGTCCTGAGAGGTAAGGAAGTATCTTTCTGCCTGGAGGAACAGACAGCGTCAGGGCTTATCATGCCAGCCTTTGCAGGCTGGACTCGAATCTCAGGGTCTCCGAGCCATGTGTTGGGAATCCAGATGGAAAATGAAGACCTTTCCATTAACTCTCCATAACGAGTCTTTAAGCTTCGAGAGGGGTGTGTGGTATTTTTTTTACTCAGTGGATGTGAGATTGTTCAGCAGCTAGACTCCTTTATATTATGGGGAAATTATTGTGTAAATTTTTGATAATGTTCACCACTGTGCACCTGATCTTGGCATACAGCCAAATTCCTTTTTTTTTTTTTTAGCACACTTCCTACTTTGGAAGCAGATATACCTCAAAGCTTTCATAGAAAGACCATGGCTTAGGAGCTGGGTGACCTTCCTGCAAATGGAAGTGCCCTCTGCATGCTGTGGCACACCCAATATAGGGCTGAAGCACTCCTGTGCAAAATTCCATGGTTGTTTCTTACTGTGGCGTTTTGAAGATCCTGGGCTCAGCCAGCTGTCCTGGGCGTTTTCCGCTTGAAGCTGGGTTTCAATGGTCATCTGCAGCAAGTGGCTTTCCGCTGCAGCCCCCTAAGATTTGTCGAAGATGTTTGAGACTGGGGGTGGAGGTGGGGCAAATAAAGACTGTAAACACACACTGGTTCTGGGCATTTCCCCAGGCCAGGCTCGGACTTTAATGAGCTTTCGCTTAAAAGAAGTTCAGATTTAATGGGAGTGTGATTTCAGTTGGTGTCCCAAACAGCCAAGGAAGTGGCCACTTTGATCTGCCAAGAATGGTAGAGCACCCCCCTATCTTTGTTTAAAAGACAAACAGAGGCTGGGCTCCGGCAGCGTGTACGTAATCCAGCACTCGGGGAGGCAGAAGCAGGTGGGCCCTTATGAGTTCAAAGCTAGCCTGGTCTACAAAGCAAGTCTAGGCGAGCCAAGGCTACACAGAGAAACCCTACCTGCAAAACAAAACAGAAAAACAGAGTGTGACAAACAAGGCATTCTTACCTGTTCATTAAAACACTCCTTTTTAAGGATTTCACTGTTGAGTCTGCCCAGTCAGGAACTTGTAAAAGGGTTGGATTCCAAAGTCTAGAGTGCAGGTCCTTTGAGGAAAAATCAGAGTCAATTTAGCTTTGGGGGCAGGGGGCCATGGTGCACACCAGTAATCTCAACAGTGGTAGAGGCAGAAGGATCCAAGTTTGAGGCCAGCCTGTGTAAAACAAGCCCAGAAACAACAAAAAGATGGTGAGGTGGCTCAGTGGGTGAAGCTCCTGTCGAGCCGAGGTCTGACAGTCTGAGTTCTGGTCCTGGGACCCACGTGGGGAAGGAGGGAGCCAACTCCTGCAAGAGTTCCTCTGATCTTTACCTGTGGGGTGTGTGCAGGCAAGCAAGCACACACACACACACACACACATACAAGGTTGTAAAAGGAATGAAAAAGCAAAAACTTTCACCTTTTGCCTTGAAAACTTCCGCCCACCCACAAGTTTCAAATCCTGGGGTTTACGTTTGAAGCTATGGCAGCTGGTTTTCTCTGAGAAGGTTGGCACTTGTAGGCTTTTATCCATACCAGGACAGTAGCTGGCTTACCTTGTCTTGTGGGTGTTCTAGAGTAGTGCATTTCTACTTAAATCTAAGTAACAGCTTGTTGCGACATAATCTCTCAGAGTGAATGCCGTGTGTGCGTGTTGGCTGGCAGACAACCTCTGTGTTGTTTCTTGGGAGCTGCCCACTTTTTTTCTTTTGAGACAGGGTCTCTCACCAGCTTAGAACTTGCCAATTAAGCTGTGCTGGCTGACCAGTAAACTCCAGGAAATCTGTTTTACCCTTCCCAATTCTGGGATTGCAAATTCACATTCTTTACTCATTGATTGGTCCTTGCCTGGATCACTTAAAGCCCCAGGCCTGCAGTTCCCCCATGCACGTGGCCTCAATGTCAGGAAGTGCTCTCAACTGTAACGTGATAGCCTGTTCCACTCTGCTACAAGTGACAGAAAACTTAGATAGGGTGGGGGCAAGTTTGAAGCCAGCCTGGACTGTGTACTAAGACTCTGTATAAAAAAATAAAGCCCTTGGGCCTAGAGAGATGGCTTAGAGGTTAAGAGCACTAGCTGCTTTTCCAGGAGACCCAGGTTCAGTTCCCAGCACCCACAGGGCAGCTGTCCATGTCTGTAACTCCAGTTCCAGGGATCCAATACCCTCACACAGACAAACTTGCAGGTACAAAACACCAATGTACATAAAATATATCATATTTTCAAAAGGCGATTCAAACCTGTAACCACAGCATAGCACTTGGGAAGCTGAGGTGGAAGGGTCACCTCGAGTTTCATGCCAGTCTGGGCTACTAATGACTTCCGGTCCAATAATGACTTCATGTCCAGCCTGAGTTATAAAATGAGATTCCGTCTTAATAATATTATGTATGCATATCTCAACTTGCAAGATATTGAGGCTTTTGTGCAAGAATGGCTATTTATCTTTCCAAGCCTAGTCTTACACCTTCAAAAGCTGCTCAGGGCATCTCTTTCCACATATGCTGGGCATGATAAAACCAAACCAGCCAGATCCAGCTCAGGGAAGGAGACAACCAGTGGCTGGCATTTGTAATCAATCCTGTTGTCCAGTGCTTGAAGCAGGTAACAGCCTAGATTAGTGAAGCCACCTTCATCTCAAAAAGGGCATCATGGAGAGAGTGTTTCAGTGATGCTGCTAGCTAGGGGCTCAGCTGGAGCTAGGGGTCAGAGAGCTGCTCTTTACAGAGCATCAAGCTGCTCTTTTATTCCTGGGAATAAAAGTATTTAACTGTAATGTGATGGCTCATCCCATTTTGCTACAGGTGACAGAGACACTTAAATGAGATAGGATTAGGAGTGAGCATGTGCTAGTCAAGGTCCTGGGTTTGGTCCCCAACACATACAGGCTTTATGGGTGTAAGAGAGAAAAACATTCTCAGACTCGCTGCTTCGGAATAATCCTGCTCCATGCACGCTGGACCAGCCGGCCAGGTGAACTGCCTTTGCTGCGTAATGATTCCTGGTCCATCCTTGCTGGCCCTCATCCCAGCACCTTTGTCTGTGTCACTAAGTGTGGTTTGCAAAGTCACAAATGTTTACACAGGTATATGCAGCTTGAGATGGATGTGAAGCAGGGAAGGGAGGGACAATTATGCCCATTCCTTGCGTGGATTTGTGCCTCTCCCTTTCATTTCATGTCTGATCTCAAGGCAACTGGCTGGAGTTACCAGGTACGGTTTGTGTCTATATCAGATCTCAGCTCATCTTCCCCAGTCAGTTTTTTCCTGTACTGTCTCAAATCTCCCTTTCTATGAAAACATACCAAAAAATAAATAAATAAATAAATGAAGTGTCTAGATGGAGGCTGATGTAAGCCACAGAGCTGATCAATTGAAGGGCAGCCCATGCCCACCTTCAGCATGAGCTCCATTGCCTGGAGTGTGAGCCCAACATAGCTCCACGTTAGCTTTTCACACATGGCAGGAAAACTTCTCAATGTGATAACGCTTGATTTTTAACATTTGTAATAAATCCTAATAAAGAAACCCTTGTGGCCTTGGCCCTTACGATGTCAGTTTGCCTTAGGTAAAAAATGTGAATGCAGAGGCTGGAGAGATGGTTCTGCAGTTAAGAACACTGGCTGCTCTTCTCGGGGACCCCGGTTCAGTTCCCACCACATTGGCAGCTCACAGCTTTCTGTAACATCAGTTCCAGGGACCCTAACATCACACAGACATACACGCAAACAAAACACCAATGCATGTTACATTTTAAAAAATGTTTTTGGTTTGTCTATCTATAAAACAAGGATCATCGCCTCTGCAGATTTCTCATCAGCTTCTGAGAAGTTTATGTACATTTGGTGCTTTTTTTTTGTTTTTTGTTTTTTTTTTTTTTTTTAATGAAGAGCTTAAAAGGTGTCTGGTGTGACCACTTATATTCAAGATAATGGGTTTTTTGTTTGTTTTAAGAAATTTGAGTTTTAACTGCATGATAGTAGATCATGCCTATTTAAATCAATATCCCCAATGATAGGGGATTTAAAAAAATATTTTTGGGGGACTACCTCCTAAGGACAAAGAAGTCAATAAGGAAAGTCTGGAGACCGGAAAATGCATGACCTGCCACCTAGTTATCAGACCCAAGACGGCTGGATCCAAAATCCACAGCTGGGCATGGGGGTTCGTGCATGTAACCCCAGCACTTGAGAAGGTGGAGCAGGGCGATTGAGTTTTCGGCCAACCTCAACTACACAATAAGCCACAGTCTTGTCTTGAAAACATCACAAAAGCCCTTTAGACTTCACGCTGGGGCCAGTGTTCTCAGCCTCCTGCAGCCTGGGGCACAGGCACAGGAAAGCCATGGTCCTTTGCTGTGAGGAGTGGTCAGTCTTGAAAAGGTTCTCCCAGCCCTTTCCCCTGTCTGTCTACCTTTAATGGCAGGAGGAAGCTGGAGGACCCTCTAAGGGCCTCCAACGAATTGAAATTAACCAAGGTCTTGATTCCTTACTGACAGCCCACGGGGGAAGCCACAGCCACCATCCCTTCCCACTCACAGAACCTCATCCTCAACCTGAGCGAACAGCTGAAGGCCAGCATGTGACCGTCACACTGGGGAGTGGGACAGTGGCTCCTCACCTGTAGCATTTGCAGAGGACCCAGGTTCGGTTCCCAGGGCGCACATGGTGGCTCACAGCCATCTATAACTCCAATTCCATGGAATCCTCCCGGGCCCCAGACATGCATGAGCTGCACATGCATTCAAGACACGTGAGCCCCCCCCCCAAAAAAAAAAATCATTTTAGAGTAACATTGAATGCGAAAGAGCAGACAGTAAAACAAAGCGTTGCAGAGGAAACTGTGGGCTAGGAATTAGATGTGGTGCCTTGCACATTTAATACAGACTAAAGGATCGGTATTTGGGGGCAAGTTTAATTTTTAATTTTCTTTTCTTTGCAATCATAATGATGCAATTACATTGTGATCTTAAAGGACCAATTTTAATATTGGTTGTGACCATGGGAAACACTTAACTCTGAAACTCAAAGGGTATGTATGACCATAAGTCGTCTAGTCTGGAGCTAAATATGAACCATCATGGTTGGAGAACACCAGTTTAGGTCGTTCTGAATTCAACCTAACTTGGTAAGGTTGATGAAGTATATGTAGTAACAGAACAAAGAAAATGTTCGAAGAAGGAACTTGCAGACTACGTGGATGAAAACATTGGTGTGGGTGTGGTGACCAAGCCTTGGATCCCAGCGCTCAGGAGGCAGAGGCTGGTGGATCTCTGAGTTTGAGGCCAGCCTGGTCTACAGATGGAGTCCAGGACAGCCAGGGTCCTGTTACACAGAGAAACACTGTCTCAGAAAAAAAAAAAAAAAAAAAAAAAAAGCAAAATAAAATAACAACAGAGAAAAAATATTAGGTAAATGAAATGGCTCAAAGTAAGAGGGCCTATGCCTTTGAGCCCAGCAACAAAAAAACAACAACCATCACAAAAATAAGCAAGAGGAACAAATCTCTGTTCTCGGCCCAGATGCTCTCTCCTGGCATTTGTAGACTTTCGGCTGTGGAGGCTGAGTTATCTGTATATTACAGAGGTTTTGGTTCAGACAAGAGGGCAAT